ACTTGATGTGTACCAGATGGGGTTGGAAAGGGAAAATTTACCCTCATTCTGAGGATGAAAACTCTGTGGCTTTTATATGAAAAATCTTACATTTATTTTTCAAAGTCATAAAACCCAGTTCTTCACCTTTCCTATAAAAGCTGCTGCTATTTATCTGAAGTTCTTACTAAGCAACTCTCCAACTTCTATTATGTTCCATTACAATTATTAAGCAAGAAGATCTGAACAGACTTAGGTCGTAATGAATGTACACATAGACATTAGAATGGGGAAACATAGATGCAAGCATAAACATAGTGCTATTTATATCTCTACATGGGTTTTAGCATTACTGATATCTGAAACTTGTAGCTGATGGTCATCTTCATTTTTATTTAATACTATTTTGTTCCCCACATGATACATTATTTTCTTCTGTGATTTACTGCACAAACTTTACAAATGAGCATTCTGAAACTGTAGCTGGTAACTGAGAATTAATTTTTGATCTTTAGTGTAAATATTATTGTGAAGAGTAATTTCCTACATTCTCATATCAACTTATTAATATGCTAAAATTCTCTTAAATTTTTTACAGAACACTTGCTCCACCATCAAGAGTTGGGGATCAATACTGAGAAAAATAACAAAAGTTATCCTTCTCTTACTGAATACATACACACAAGAAGACATGACACAAATTTAAAATAAAGGCAATGCTTTAGACACATAAAATCCTGCAGCTTGTGTTAATTTTCTCCATTTCTAAATCTTTCAATTATCTTCCTATGTGTTGAACATCAAAATGTGTATTTACACACAATAGTATTACTGTACCATAAAGAACAATATATTTGAGCAATTTCTAGAAAAAAGGATACCCCTTGGTAACATAATGCTAAATGAAATAATTCAGAGGCAAGAGGTTAATTATCGCAAGGTTTCTCTTATATGAGAAACTCCAAACATAAGAAATTTGAAGACTAAAAGAAAGCCATGAACAGCTGTCAGGGAGATGGACACGCTGAAGATGGGAAGATGATCTAGGCCCGGAGGGGGAGGCCCGGGTAGCAAAGGTGTGAGATGACACCAATAAGAGCCAGCTCCGCTGGACAAACGTGTGGACTCTGTGCTAAGAAACATCTACTGCAAAGAGAAAAAACAGAGGAAGGGTCCACAGAGTGTGCATGGTTGGTTTGAGACTACACCTCAGCTAAGAACACTAGATTTGGAATAAAGGTCACAGACACTGTGTCCTATCAATTGCGACCCGACTGCATGGTGCACAAGGTAACATTTTTTGTTTAGATCGAGTTAAACTTGCTGATGAGAGAAAACATCTCCTGAAGACCATGTCACTCTTGTCCATACATGAAATATGACAGAATAAATATCTTAGATCCTCACATTCACTATTGCATTGTCTGTTGCTGTGTAAATGGTGAACCATGGCCCTGCAGCCTATAAAAGGAAAATTACTGTCGGAATGGACAGAGACAGTATTTTCTCTTGAGCATGAACAAAATTATAATAATTATATCTATTTTGCAAAGAAGAACAGAATAAATGTTATATTCATGAAGAAGTTGAGTCTCTATTCCCTTTGGGATATAGTGAAATAATGGCTCAATTTCACCATAAAAGGACTGAGCAGCTTTCTTAAATAGCTAGGACAATGCTGTCAGCTTCTGTGGAAGTTCTACATTGCTTGGTTTTTACACCTAGAGCCAGATCTGAGGAACACATAGGGACTGGAAGGCAGAAGTAGGATGACAAAGATGGAGATATGTTTCCTACATGCTCATAAGACAGGATCCTCCCATCCAGAGGAGGAAGCACATACACACACTCATGTACACACAAGACATACGTGTAAAGAGAACTCGCCTCTCCTGATTCAATTCTTTGCACCTGTGAAGTACTAACTGTGATGCAGATTCCCAGTCCGCAACAACCAGCCCTGCAGCGCAGGAGCCAGCACCCTGGGGGCCATTGTCTCTGTTTTCTGCAGAAGCTCAAAGTGTGTATGTTGAAGAGAATCAAAACTGAAGGCACTTTGGTACTACTGTTCTGGTGGGCAGACCCATGATAAACCCACGGCTGCTTATCTCATGACAAGCTTATGGGCAGAAAGAGTCCGTGTTGGACACAGTCTCACTTTTCTAATGAGATTCATGCTCAGTGAGGCTTCGATTTGCCTGGGACTGTGACCTTCTGGTTCTTTGAGAAAGGACAAGTCCGTGGCAGTATTCCTAGGGCATGGTGCTAGCCAAACTTTATCGTGGCCATGGGCGGTTCCACGGGGATTAGCAAAGCGTCCTAGCTGCTCGGGCTGGTCACGGAGACACGGCTTCGGGGCACACTTTTGTCCCCTTCATTTCAGGCACTGTTCCCCCACTGTGCTTCCTGGTGTCCATGGAGTGAGCAGCTTTTCCCCACAACCGACTTTGGCCCTAGTGATCCTAATTTAAAGGCAGCCGACTGTGGACAAGTCCCTGGAAGCCTGATCCAAAGTAAATTTCCTCTTTGTGTGTTTTTTTTTTTTTGTACCGGGGACTGAACTCACGATCTCACGCTTGCCAGGCAGGCCCTTATGCCACTGAGCTAAATCCCCTGGCACTTCTTCCTTGTTTTGCGGTGCCATGTATTTTGTCTCTGAGACAGGAAAACTAACCAGCAGAGCCAACAGGTTTGATTTCCTCTTGTCTCCTGAGTTCACACATGGAGGACAAAATACAGGAATGCATCCTCAATATCAGGGTTATTTTCCTGACATTAAGTGTAATGTGACTTCACAGAGTCAAAACTTCATATTTATGCCATGAAACATTGGTATCAATATGCCCCTCCCTGAAATATGTGTTTAAATGTATAAAATTATCTCAGAAAACACAATTACCTATTTCTAACTATAGCAAAAGTTTCTGTTCTATAGTCTGCTCTAAATTTATTGGCTTATATGTGTGCATTAAACTAATGCTAATTCTTTGCCATCTCAATTGACTTTGAGATTTAGTTCTATTTTGTGTCCTTTGACATTGTCATAGATACTCTTTGAAACCATTCTCTTGAATATTCTAAGTGTTCAGTGAGAATTACAAGAGCCAAAGAGAATTTCTTTTGAAATCATTCTGTCAGAATATTTGTTGCGTGGTTTATGTTAGTCCTAAATGCAACAAAAATGTTAGTAGAAAGAAAACAGAAGAACACAAGCCTGTGAAGGTAGATATTATTAGCTGTGTTTTGCTAGAGAAACAGATAAAGCACAAGATATAGAAATGTATAAGAAATCACAAGATTGGCTTACAGCAGTCACCTACATCGCTTACTGAGTCAGACGAGGATCAGCATAGAGGGTGCTGCATGCAGGGGACCAAAGGATTCAGTTCAAGGTCTGGAGCTCACTTCAGTGTCCCGGGCGAGCCTATATCAGGTGGCCAGTGGGTCTGCGACGGAAGGTGAGAAAGTCTGTGCCAGAAGCTGAAGAGTCTGCGCTGGAAACCAGGAAACGTCCAAACCGAAGGCAATGACTGGAGCTCCTCAGAAGAATGGAAGCAGATCTGTCCTTCCTCATGTCCCCTTACCCCATCCAGTGATGGATGAGCTGCCCTAGGCAGGTCCTCTGTACCTAGCAGATCTGTCCTTCCTCATGTCCGCTTACCCCAGCCAGTGATGGATGAGCTGCCCTAGGCGGGTCCTCTGTACCGAGGTGTGAAATTTTTGAGTTGACTTAGTGAAGCTTCTCTTACTAAACTTCTCAAGTTGACACATCACAGTTTGGGTCTAATTTGCTCCTTTCTGCATAATTTGGGCCGGTTTACTTATTTTCTTACATTCCGTTGTCTTTCTGTGCAACCAGAATGACATTAGTACTTCTCTTATAGGGAAATGAGTTGCAGGCATAAGAAGTTGTTCAAGAGTGCTAGTCATTTAGAAGGAAAAGAATTCTTTCCAAAGGAGGAGCCATGCCAAAGTTGGTACTGCCCTTTTTATAAACCTCATTAGTGAGGCCAAATCCTTCTTGTTGAGAATTACAGATTCACCCATTACATTAATTCCTTTCTTTAGACATTTTATTAAACACCTTCTGAATGCGAGAAAATGAACTGTTTGTATACTCATAATAAAATGTTTATTTGCTTTCATGTGTATACCAATATCTGTTGTATTGGTTGAGTGGAAATAGGGGTTCGGAGGCCCATAAAGGCCTGGTTCCCCTTCCCAGGGGAACAAGTGGTAGAGAGCCATCACTCCTGTAAGCAGCTATTGAGTAAACACTAAAGTTTGAGTCCAAGGCTGATTTTAGAGGAAATGGCCTATCTCCTTTGAACCCTCTGGGAGTTTAAGATACACTCATCCTTGTTCAATTTTCCTGTTCATGAATCTCATATTGTCTCTCTATGTGTTTATTTTTGTGAAGTGATTTGTCAATCATGTTTAATCAGATTTTTATTCAGAAGCATTTGAGATTAATGACTGAATTTTCATTCTTCCTTGCCAATGGTTGTTTTCAGAATGCTAAATCCGGATGCTGGCAGGATTTTCATTGTGAAGCTGATGAACCAATGCCCAGAGGTGTTTACTATTCAGCAGCTAAATTAAATCTAAGAACATGACTGATTGCGAGCAACCTTGCCAATCAAAAACAAAGGGAGGCTATTCATTAAGAGGGCCGTTTCCCCGTCAACAGGCTCCAGTCCAAATTTCATTCAGGGTTTTACCAAGGAAGACTGTTTTGATTCAACATCGATGTGGCAATGAACCCAGAAAGGCCAACAGCCGACCTCCTGGAGTTTTTTGTTAGAGCCAGGATTAGGGAAGTATGGTCCATGAGCCACATCTGACCTGTGGCCTTTTTTGTATGGCTCAGGAATTAAGGATATTTTGCACATTTTTAAATGATTGGGAAAGAAATCTAAAGACAGTATCCTGTGGTGGCCTGAGAACAATCTGAATTCAGATCATTGCCCACAAATAGTCTTACTGGAAAATGACAGGGTTTTCATATTTGAGACTGTGTATGTGTGTTTTCTTACGACAGTGGCAATATAGTTGTGACAGAAGCCATCTGGCTTGTAAAGTATGAACATCTTAAATGTCTGCCTCTTCTTGTTCCTAGAGGATGCTTGGCTTGTCTCACCTTCCACTCTTACCTGCAGGTGAGACTGCACCCATAAAACGAGCTCACATGGACTCTCAGGATAGAACAGAGTAAAGGGCAGAGGAACAGACATCAGACGTACCTAAGTCTGAGTCCTGGATCTTAGCCTGACCTAAGGCAGGTAAAGTGCTAAATGTGTCTCATTCTCAGTTTATTCTGTTTTCATAGGAAAGTGATAATTAGTCACTATCTGAGGGTTGTCCTAAACTATCTCCTCAGCCCCGTGCTTCTTTCTTTCCCTCTTCTTCCCCGTCTCTTTATCTCATCTATCTGTACCCTCATTCTCCCATCTTACCTGGCAAACTCTGCCATGAAATAAGTGCTCAAAGAAAAGCGCTCCTTTTCTTCCTTTTTTTCCTAAACACCCTCAGAAAAAGAATCTGCAGTCTTTCATAGAAGACTGTTTGCACTTTCTTCTGCTCTGAGGAGTCTGTGTTCAGTGCCTAATAACCACATGCATCCATAAACAAAAACCGAACATTTGCTTTGCATCAACAAGCGGGCTTCAGTGGAATGGAAAATTTTTATTAAATATCTCATGTTCTATACTTTTCCTTATTATTTTCATAGGAAAAGCAAATAAAATCTTTTTTGGGATCTTTTTCATGACAGCTGTTTTCCTCAATTTAATTAACTTTCCCTGCTCTTCTCCCAGGTGCCCATTCCAATACAGTCCACTATGTTTAGTGATTATTAACTTGGAATTCAGTCTGTTTCTCAGATCCAAAATAAAATTCTGTGCTGTAAGGTAGACACCTTGGTTATCACCCATGATAACAAAGATTTATTTTCTCTAAATCTTAGGTTGTGCAAGAAATGACAGGCATTGCTTGTGCATTTTCCCGCTGGAGATACTGACAACCTGGAGGCCTAACCCCACATGTGTAAGTGTAACATAATAACACTGCAGGCACACACTACCTGTTACAGACTTTCTACTCTTTATGTGAGAAATAGCACGTTTTAATGCTGTAGAACTTGTGTTGCTTTCCATTATTTTGATACCCAGTCTGGCTGTGAGACCCACCTCTGATAGATATTTGGAAGCGGTAAGATTCTTCTTCCATCCCACGTGCATGATGAATTTGGATTTAGATTTAACTTGCATTTATTAAACAGTAGGTGTAGGTTTGGATTGCAATCGTCTCTTCACATGTATTATAGCGGTTGACCCTCGTGCACTGTAAAAAACAAGTATTTTTAGTTGCATGTTACTATTTCCCATCTGTGTTGTATTGAGCACCTCTGTTCTTGTCTTTATTGTTCTTGCTGTGTTTCTTGTTGTCTCCTTCTATCTGGGCATGCATGTATTCCATATTCTTCTAGAGATAATTTTAAAAAGCTATTTTTATTTTAATCAACACATAAGAATTGTGTATATTCGTTGATATACACACATATGGTACATACTAATTTTACTTGTGTATGGACAGTGTGATAATTCAGTATACATAAACAATGTGTAATTATCATCTCTGGGTAATTGGCGTATCCATCACCTGAGGCATTCGTGGTAGCTTTGTGTGAGGAACTCTAAATCCTAGCTGTTTTGCAATATTCCATTCGTTATCAGTCGTTTTTACCCCACTGTGCTAGAAAATGCACTGTTGTCCCTCAGAGGTTTGGTACACATGTCCGAAGCAAGAGTTCTACTAGGGTCAGACCACTAGGTCTTAGCCCAGCGGTATCACAGATTTATGGGGTGCCACAATTTGTGGAGTCTTTTGAAGAACTTCAGTGTCTCCACTGTAGCCTGGAGATTGGCATGCTCAGTGTATGTCCCACAGTGAGGGACAAGAACAGAGAGGCTGCATCCAGTGATAAAGTAAGCAGTCCATCTTAGTGTGCCACAAAACTCAAGTCCAGGACTCCGTCTTTTGTGAGCAAACCAGGATGACTGCTCACTGCCTTTCCTGAGCTTGTGTTAAGTTTTTTTTTGTGTGTGTGTGTGGGGTATCAAATGTACCTCGCTTCAATCAATCTTTACTATAGGTCTGCACAGGACATGATTATTTATGATAAGTTCCAATTTAAAGACAAAATAATCACTAGTTATACTGACCTTAGAATTGGGACCACCTCACTGACATTTTCAAAGCCCCTGGAGTGTTGGCACACGTGAGAAACACAGAGAAAGAAAGAGAGCACACCCCAAAAGTTCTGATTTAGTGTTTGGGATGAGCATATGCTGAGGATTCACATTTTTAATAATTTCACATAATTTATTAAAATTATGATTATTAGCACATATTAATTGTATAAGATAATTATTTAGATTGTAATACTTACATGCACGAATATTACGTGCTTAGAGGATGGGCCACCTGCTACCCTCTCTTAGCCCCTGTCCTCTGCCTTAATGTTTTCTGTTTTCATACTGACTCTTTATCGCCCTATTTTGCACACAATAGTTACAAAGCAGTCACTATCTTTGTGTTCAGCAAATTAATTCCTGTTCACAACCTTTCCAAATTAACATATTTGCCCAATGTTTTAATTGTATCTTATTCTTCTACATTTTACATTTTAATAAGTTCATTTAAAAAGATATACATTTATAATTTTTTCTCTTCTTTTTTTCTTGCATCTCAGATCCAATCTTGTATTATTTCCTTTCTACCAAAGAACATAGTATAATGACTTTGAGAATGACTGTAAGTGGTAAATACTCTCATTTGATTGGCTTGACATGTTTCATTTATCACAGCAATAATAAATGTTCATTATAGAAAACGCAGAGAATAACACACAACATTATGTTATCATCTGCAGGCATTCTTTATTTTGCATGTTTCTGATATGCACAGGTTTCAGTTATCACAGTTTAAATAATAGCTGTCTCACATCAATAGAATTTGAACAAGTTGCCATGTTATATGAAGTGTAATTTCATAAAATAGAAATTCTACTGTTAGCTTCATTCTAAAAATGCCTATGTGAATAAAAAAATCCAAATTTTATTAGTGACCAATTATGTTATTTCTTTGAAATCTGACACTGATTGGTTGCTGCCATCTGTTTATTATTTACAGAATGCAAAGTCTATAGTTGTATACTGTATTAGTTTTACCTTCACTGGGCACAATACCCAACACCCAGAATTTTAAAAATAGAGGTTTAATTCAGCTCAGCTTCGAGGCAGAGACACGGGAGTGGAAGGGTGTGGTGATATGAAGCAAGCTGCTCAGCTCACAGGAGTTGCAGAGAGAAAGAGTGAAGGACCGGACTTAGACCCTAATGCTGTTTCTCCACGACCCCCAGACACCTAGAAGTGCTCCACCAATCCCTGGGGCAGGCTCCAAAGCCAATTAGTTGAAATTTCATCCCAACTGACCTATTTGTCACCCAAACATGTCTTAATTCATGCTTAATTTCTAAATAAAGATAATGATACGATAATAATTCCACTTTGCATAAATTTACTGTTATGGCTTAAGTCTCCCCAAAGCCCCATACGCTTGTACATAGGGTGCTCAAGGGTGATTACCGTGAGAGGGAAGAACCTAGTTGCAAGAGATGTGTCACAGGGGTGAGGCCTGGAAGGCTGATCTCTCTCATTCTGACTCCTCTCCTCACTCGCAGTTTCCTGTCTGCCAGGCCACGAGTAGCTTTCTTCTGCCATGACTCTGCCCTGCTCTCTTGCCTTGAAACCATCCAGCAATGGGCTGGAGGAGTCAAGAATGTGGAGCTCTGAGGAAAGCTACAAGAAGTGAGGAAAGCCAGGCCAAGGGAGAGAATAAGTTGCAACCACCAGTCTGTCTACTCAAGCTATTTGGAGTTCATAACTCACCAGTTTGCCCGAACTCGATGTGAAGCTGTGGGATACACACTGCTTGCCCTGCACATTTCAGTCTTGCTTTGATCCCATTTTTTTCTCTCCCCTATTTCAATCTTTTGGAATTGGAATATTTACCCTATGCCTTTGTCATTAGTGCTTAACTGTATTTTTTGTTTGTACAGAGGCTGACAGCCAAAAGATTGCTGTAAGTCTCAGAGAAGACTGGTCTTGTCAGTAGTCTGGAACTGCTATGATTTTGCAGTTCTTAGAGATGAACTAGATGGATTTGTATAAAGAATTAATATGTATAACTCTCCTGGGAGCATGGATTAAATGTTATGATTTGTATCCCCCAAAGCCTTGCCTCATGTTCATAGGCAGGGCTTCAGGAAGATGATTGCATTATGAAGGCCCACTGTGGACTAAAGGCTCACATGCTGAGGCAAAGTAGACCCTTATTTTTTAAGCTGTGGGCGATGGCTATGGTGTTTCAGTGATGAGAAGGTGACTAAGACAACTGTCCTGTAGATAGCTGGAAGCACAGTAATCCTTCCCCAAAGTCTCAGCGGTTCCAGCATTTTTCACAAGTTGAGGACTTCTGAGACTCAAGGCAACTCTTAGCTTTCAACTTCTGTAAAAAAAAAACACAAAAAACAAAAAACAAAAAAACAAAAAAAAACAAGTAACATAATCATAAGGTACAGTGACACAGGAGACATCTTCCCATCTCACAAAGGAGAAATAAGGGAAGAGTAAAGAATCCAACTAAAGCAAGAATAAAACCCAGCAGGGCAAACCTTAGGTCTTGGGGGGCCCCGTTATGTATCTGAGGCATGCAGTGGTATATGAGATTCCAAAGGCCCCAGGTAGCACCACACCTTTGGCCTCCCCAGTTGCAGACCGCGTGTCCTCTTTCCTGGGATGGTGCTGCCTGTGGCATCTGGGTTTGTTGGACAGGCATCCCATGTTCCTGGCATTACTATTTCTTTGTGTCTCCACTGCATCTTTGGCTTCCTTCTTACAGCTTCATGTGGCGCCCTCTCAGGGTCTGCTTTCGAGGGCTTCCAGGCTTTTTTCTGAAATGTAGATGGACACCAGCCAGATCTGGTGACTCTTCCATTCTGTATGACAGTAAAACAAGCACCTGCAGCCATTAGGAACAAAAGCCAGGCCGCCTTGGACCAGGACTATAGTGCAGTCTGAAGGTCTGGAAGGCTGAGCCCAATAAAACGAACCACTATCCCAGGAGAGAACCGCTATCCCAGGAGGGAACCACCATCCCAGGAGGCCTTAGTCAGACAGGAATCCCAGAGACTCTTCTCAGAAGGTTCACACTTTTGCCCTCTGGTGCCTGCAAGGGCCCTGTGAGCTTGCAATAACCCTTGCTGTCTCCTAAGATGACCCCAACTCACCATTATTTTTGTTCCTGTACAAAGTACTTGGTGTCTTTTTAATGATGCTGTCTCTTTAGCAGCTCTATCTTCTTTGGCCCCAAATTTATATGTGTTTTATTCTCCATTAAAATTTATGTGTTTCAAATTTTCCTGCTCCTTCTGCTTTTAGCTTTCAATTCTCACTATAAATTAGGCTAAAAACAGTCAGCCAAATGTTAGATTGTCTTTTGAAATTTCTTCCACAAAATTAAGTAGTCCATAACTTTTCATTTAGTCTTCTGCAAAGTTTCAGAACATGAGCAACCATAGACAAAATTTTCTGCCAGAGAGTGTAACACACATGGCTTCTAGTCCAGCTGCCAGTAAAACCCTTGCTCCAAACTGAAACTTTCTGAGCATTGCTGTTCTCATTCCTTTCAGCATTCTGGACTTCGAGTTCTGTGTAGTATTGCCCATCAAGCACTGTTCATAACATTCTAGATTCTCTGGACTACTTGCCAAAATTTTCCAACTTCTTCCCATAGATATTTCCAAATTCTTATAAGATGCATACTCAGATATAGTCACAACAATGGCCCTACTCCTGGTGCTACCTTTTCTGTGTTAGGCAGCTTCCTGTAGCTGAGCAAAGTACCCAACACTGACAACTGAAAGGTGTGGAGGAGGAATTTGGCTCATGATTTCAGTCCATGCTGCAGAGCTCTAAGGCAAA